GTCTGTTAAATGGCCATCAGGACACAAGCATTGTGTTTGTGGGTTCCAAAGTGATTGACCTCCTTATAAATCTTTGAAACTTTGAATATGCTCTTCCCTCTGCCGGGGATGTTCTCTGTTCCCTGTTCTGCCTGTTAAACTTTTATTCATACTTTAAAACCCACTTTAATTATGCCCCTCCTCTAGGAAGCTGTATTAGCTGATCCTTTTCTATATTCCTTTTGCTTGGCCTCAAAAAGAGGCCTGGCCTCCATTTCACCCGCTTGTACCCACTCTTCCTTTTTGCCTGACCACCTACCACCTGTCTCTGCCCCAGATTGCTAATCTGGGGGAGGGGGGCAACTGACTCCACCAAGACTGAGCAACCTGAGGATGGTGCTCTGTGTTTCGGCTCACTCGTCCCCATCTACCCATCAGAGCCTGGCACGCAACAGGAAGCAAGAAATACTGGAGGAATATGGGGTTTCCACGCCCCCTCCCCCCACAGCCAGTCCTGCAGTACCTGAATGAGCCCACCATGCCAGCTGATCCAGAACGTTCTAAATTCATCCCAGGAGAGGATCTTGGCTGTGTACACACTGGCCACAGGCTCGCCCATCTTGCTGGTGGAGATCCATGACCTCGTGTTCTGGTGCCCCCCCAGCACGATCTCAATCATGCCCACTGTGTCCTGGGGCCCAGAAGACAAGGCCACACGGGCATCATTATGGGCTCGCACGGACACGTCAAAATGGGTGAGACGCAGCGGCAGCTGCACATACTGGAACTCGTACTTGTTCGGAGTGGAGATGTGGACTCTCTCTGGATGGAGGAAAGGAGATTAGGAGTTGAGAGGGCACGTGGAGGCACCCCGGCCTCCCTGCTGGTGCCAGAGGCAAGCATTGGGACCACAAAGGCCACACAGCTACAGGAGACATATGTGACGGGATGATACTGGCTTAACAACAGCATTGATAATAATGCACATGAGATAAAATGCTCAGGGACAAATCCAACAGAAGATGAGTGAGGTGCTGAAAACTGCAAACGGCTGCTGAGAGAAACTAAAAACCCAAACCCACATCAGTGGAGAGCCAGACTGTGTTCACAGGTCAGAGAAGACAATGCTATGGTGAAGATTTAATTCTTCCCCAAACCATCTACGGATTCAATGAAATCCCCATCAAATCCTAGCAGGCTTTTTGGGAGAAACTGCTAAACAGACTCCAAAATTCATATGGAAATGCAAAGGTCCTAGGATTGCCCTACTTCAATAAAGAACAAAGCTAGAGGCCAACCCAGTGGTGGCTCATGCCGGTAATTCTAACACTCTGGGAGGCTGAGGTGGGAGGATCACTTGAGGCCATAAGTTCATGAGCAGCCTGATTAAGAATAAGACCTCATCACTACAAAAAAACAGAAAAATTAATTCATCTGCACATCTTCCTCTGCCGAGTCACAATGCTGCTTGTACCTCTGGGTCACACTCAAGCCCACAACTTTCTGCTGATGTGACCCTAAGCTCTCCCCTCCCGTGACCCTGGGCTTCTCACCCAGGACCCCCAAGGACAGTCCTACTGCTGACCACAGCCTGTCCCTTCTTCCCTTGCTTGGTGTCAACAACATACAATCCTGTGTGTTCACTCCCTTTGTGGTGGACGCCCAGCCCTCACTCCAGCTTATGGCTGTCCCCAACCAGGACATCTCACCACCTAACCACCTATGCCCTCTGCCCCCAGGGAGGGCTGGTGTGCCTTTTGCAGTGGGAAAGCTGCCACAGTCCTGACCTAGCCAGGTGGCTCTGCTAGGTCAGGGGGAGGGTGAACAGGTAGCAAGGAAGTGGCTGAGGGCAGGGAGAAGGAACTAATTCCCGTGAGGAGCCAAACTGCAACTAGGAACCATTTCCTAGCCAGAACACACATAGTAAAAGTTCCTAGTGACCTATAACTGACCTAGAGCTCATTACCACCTAATTAAACCTGCGAAGTAAACTATTATTTAACCCCAACCTGTCAATTACCCCAAGGCAGGAAACAACCACCAATTCTGCCAAAAGGAAGGTGGGACAAATTGGTGAGCTTACAAAAGGCAGTGTGTGCTCAGACTTGGGTCCTCCTCCACTCGTGCAGACTGACCCGTTCCCCTCTCTCTGGAACGTATTTTCACTTTGTGTAATTTCTTTCTTTACTTTCACTCTTTCTTTTATGGGATAAACTGTGTAAAATTACTTTGTATTTGTGATCACTCTGTCATCAGATTGACTCAGTACCAGGAGCGAGACACTGGGAGCCAGGGGCCAGGGAACATCCAGATGGACCTAGCAGCCTCTCTTTAGCAGAGTAGGCACTGGGCACTCACCGTTGGGACAGAAGAAAGCACTGTATGTGTACGCCCGGGGGACTCCTTCAGGCTGAAACAGAAAAACAGGGAGAGCTGAATGCTGAGGTAGTAAGGGGAAGACAATTGGCTCAGGGGAGCAGTGGCCCCCCCACCCCATGAAAAAGGCTCCAAGTCCAAACTACACCATCATGCCACCAGCGCTTACAAGGTACCCACAGGATGACACCAAGGTCACAGGTGCACAGAGAAGGACTGGGGTGACCTCTGCTCAGGCCCAGATAGGAACATTGAGCCCACGCCCCCATGTCAGCCAAATGAAACTCACCAACAGCTTCTAGACTCGTCATACTTCCCACACTGGCACCTTGCCCTCCTGGCCAGCCCTTCCCTCCCATTCCTTCTGGGCAGGGAACACTGAAGCTAGGCTTCTGGGATCTGAGGTCTCCTTCAACCCATGAAAGGGAGTCTGGGGTTGGCTGAGGACACATCTCTGTCCCACTCTGTGTCTGACACATCCTGATGTAGGGCTCTTCTCTTGCTTCAGCTTCTTCCCCAGATGACCCCAAATACTAGAAAGCAGCAGTCTTGCTCTCTTATAAAGGGATTCCCAGGCAGGGTGTGGTGGCTGATGCCTATAATCCTAGCAGTTCGGAGGCTGAGGAGGGAGGGTTGCTTGAGGCCAGGAGTTTGAGACCAGCTTGGGCAACACAATGAGATCCTTTCTCTACAAAAATTCAAAAGTCAGCTGAGAGTGGTGGTGTACACCTGTAATCCCAAGGAGTTGGAGGCTTCATTGAGCTATGATTACAACACTGCACATAGCCTGAATGACAGAGTGAGATCCTATCTCCAAAAAAAAAAAAAAATGTCCAGAATTTAACCTTGTGGGTTTTGGTCTGACTAGCACAGCCCCTGTTGTAGGGCTTTTGATTTTTTACAACCTGTTTTAGCAGCTCCACCAGAGTGGTAAGCTCAGGCCAGCCTGTCTTCAGATCACACCTCAAGTGGTTAACAAATGGCAGCTGCAGTTAGGTCTGGGGTTCCCCCCTCATTACTGCAATGTCAGTTTCAGGTGTCAACCTGACTGGGCTAAGGGTTGCCCAGATAGCCAAAAACTATTTTTGCCTGTGTCAGTGAGGGTGTTTCCAGAAGGAATTAGCATTTGTATTGGTAGACTGAATAAAACAGATGATCCTCTTTGAGGGAAAACAGCAGATTAACAAAAATACCATGCCAGCCTGCAGTGCTCAGCAAAATTGTTACAAAGTAGATTAAACAGGTACTGAGACAATTACTGGACCCCAAGCACCCAGCATGTTCTTGCCTTGAAATGGCCAGGCTCAAACTGATGCTGCATGCTTTAGAGCTGTTTTGGTTGTCCTGCAGTGCCCTCTAGCTAACTGTAATACTAAAATCCCTACCCTATGAAAAGTTGTAATCTCATTAACATAACATGGGTTGCATGGTAGCTATGATGATGGTACTGTGCCTGCATGATTTGCTCTACTGTTAACAAGCAGATACATTGTAAAAACTCTGCATTGCTTGTAGGAAAGAGATTTAATGCAGCAATTCCCAACCTTTTTTTTTTTTTGAGACAGAGCCTCAAGCTGTCCCCCTGGGTAGAGTGCTGTGGTATAACAGTTCACAGCAACCTCCAATTCCTGGGCTCAAGTGAGTCTCCTGCCTCTGCCTCCCAAGTAGCTGGGACCACAGGCACACACCACAATGCCCGGCTATTTTTTGGTTGCAGCCATCATTGTTGTTTGGCGGGCCCGGGCTAGATTCGAACCCACCACCTTAGGTGCATGTGGCTGGCGCCTTAGCCACTTGAGCCACAGGTGCTGAGTCCCCAACCTTTTTGACGTCAGGGAAGACAATTTTTCCATGGACCTGGGGAGGCAGGGATGGTTTGGGATAATTCAAGTGCATTACATCTCTACCTCAGATCATCAGGCATTAGATACTCATAAGGAGCACACCTAGATCCCTAGCACATGTAGTTTACAGTAGTTAATGCTCTGTGATAATCTAATGCCACCGCTTATCTGACAGGAGGCAGAGCTCAGGCGGTGATGCAAGCAATGGGAGCAGCTGTAAATATAGTGGACATTTCACTCGCTTACCCACCACTCCCTGCCTGCTGTCCAGCCCAGTTCCTAATAAGCCACGGACTAGTACCAGTCCACAGCCCAGGGGTTGGGACCTTAGATTTAAAGCAAAACCACAGGGTGGGCAGATGCCGGGTTTTGTGTGCAAAAAAGCTCCTGTGGAAAAAAGTCCTGTACCACCCAGACGTAAGTCCGTGTAAATAAACCTCTAATAAACTCATCTAACTCACCAAGATGAACTGGTCTGAATCCTTCTTTGGTCTCTCAGCTCCATCTCAGTTTGAGGGAGTGGTTTTTTTAATACTGTTTGGGGATTTTTCCAGAACATTCCCCAGTGTGGGCATGGGCACCATCCAATCTGTTGCGGGTCTGAATAGGCAAAAAGGCAGAGGAAGTTTGGTTTCACTCTCTGCCTGATTGCTGAACTGGGACGTCGATCTTCCCGTCCTCCACACTCGTGGTTCTGGAATTTATGCCATTGGCTCTATAGAGCTTAGGCGTTCAAATTACACCATTGGCCTTCCTGGGTGTTCAGGTCACAGAGGGCAGACTGTAAACTTCTCAGCCTTCATGGTTGCACGAGCCAATACCTTATAATGAATCTATTCAACATATACATGTGCGAGTATGTGTATACATAATAAATCTTATTCTTCTATGTATATTTATATATGTGTGTGTGTGTGTGTGTGTGTGTGTCCTATTGGTTCTGTTTCTCTAGAGAATCCTAATACATCCATTCTTTGCTGGGTGACTTGAAGCTACTCACTCAACTTCTCTGGACCTTTATTTTATCATCTCTAAAATGGGCATGAAGGTGGCACTGAACTCATCTTGCAGTAAGGTTATTATGCTTTGGATGGGGCCTGGCACCTTCCCAGTGGTACTGACAGTCAGGTGTTGTATTTTCTCATTCCCTTCTCCCCTACTCTGAGGCCTTCATTGAAACCATCTGTGCCCATATTGCTGTGCGCAGGAAATGCCTGTCCTGCTATCAGCCCAGGATTTCATGTGGGAGTCTGCTCTGGGGTCCTGCCTCATGCCCCACACATGCATGAAGCACCCTGCTACCAAGTCTTTAGCAAAACTCCCAGGGTTGGTACTGAGAGGCTGAGGACATTGCTTCAGCTGTGCTGAGCTGTTCACCTGCTGGGATGTCATCTCATACCCAACAGGCCTGATGTGGTGGAGCCCATGGGCCAGCTGCTCAACTAGAGGCACCACAGAGAGCCCCTGAGGCATTGTTTGGGCCTCAGCAACCCTCAATGCACCAGCCAGGTTAGGAAAGGAGTTAGGAGCACAGGACAGGGCCCAGCTATTATAAGCCCACAGTCATGAAAATGAGTCATAACACAAGTGTCCACCGACGGGTGAATTGATGAATGAAATGTGGCCCATCCATCCAGTGGAATATTATGCATGCATCAATAGGAATGAAGCCCTGATCCATGGTGCAGTGTGGAGGAACCTTGAACGCACTGTGCTGAGCGGAAGAAGCCAGACATAAAAGGCCACGTAGTGTACAACTGTATTGATACAAAATGTCCAGAACAGGCTAGGTACACTGGTTCACACCTGTAATCCCAGCCTTTAGGGAGGCTGAGGCAGGAGGGCCACTTGAGGCCAGGAATTTGAGACCATCCTGGGCAACACAGCAAGACCCTGTCTCTACAAAAACAGAAAAAAATAGCTGGGCATAGTGGCACGTGTCTTTAGTCCCAGCTACTCAGGAGGCTGAGATGGGAGAATTGCTAGAGCCCAGGAATTTGAGGCTTCAGTGACCTATGATTGTGCCACTGCCCTCCAGCCTGGGTGACAGCATGAGACCCTGTCTCCATCATCAAGGAAAGGGGAAAGGGGAAAGGGAAGGGAAAGGGAGGGGAGAGGAGGGGACGGGAGGGAAGGGAAGGAAAAGGGAAAAAGAGAGAAGAGTTCAAATGTCCGGAACAGGCAAACCATAAAGATAGAGCCAGGCTCCTTCTGCTGGTGATGAATATGCCCCTTACCTCTGGCTAACCATCCCAGGGGCTCCTGGACACACACCAAGTCAGGCCCTATTTCCTCTATTGACTCAGCTCACAGAAGACCAAGTACCTGCCTCTTCATTGACACCCAAGCCCTCTGCTCTGTGTGTCTGCCATGGCTCTGCTCCTCACGAGTTGGTCCATCTTGGGCTGCACTTGCCCTTCCTGGTTCCAGTCTCCTTGGTGTCTGCACCACCCCTGCTGGCTTGGGGCTGGAGCTCAGAACCCAGTACTGGCAGGATGCCAGTAGTATTAGCTCAGCTGGGCTTTTTTGCAACCCTGTAGCACATATCAGATCTTCAATCCTTTCTGCCTAAATGAATTTGCCTGTTCTGGACATTTCATATAAATGGAATCACGCACTGTGTGGCCTTTTGAGTCTGGCCTCTTTCACTCAGCATCACAGTTTAGAGGTTTATCCCCGTCGTAGCAGGTGTCAGTGCTTCCTCCCTTTTGGTGGTTAACATCCCGTTGCAGTGGGGAAGTGCATTCCATTGAACCACATCTGTTTGTCCAATTTGTCAGCAGATGGATGTTTCCTAAAATGAAAAACCTATTCCTAGTTTTGTCTGGGATCCCCCAGTTGACTGTTATAAATGTCTAGATGACAATGGCATGTGGGTCTTTAGCTCTCAAGCCAGGCAGCATGACACTTTCACCTATACCCTCATCTAACCACCCAGTGGCTCCATTTGAATCCAGAGTTTTCACTCCAGGGACTACCCCATGGTTGGCCAAGCTGCCCACCTATTGTTGTGGTGATACCCACCAGGCCTTCTTTATGGATCTGAATTATGCTCCTTTTTGGTTTTCTTTCTTTCTTTCTTTCTTTCTTTCTTTCTTT